TGCTACCTGCTCTATATACCAGGTCCTGCACAGTTTTTAATGCCTTTGAATGTACCTGGCATGTGCTGTGAGTCTGCCCTGAGAGGAGCAGTGGGAACCCACAGGCTGTCCATCAGGGAAGGGCTATCTATAGTTCACAAAGACTCTTAGCTAAGGCAGAAAGGGGTGGAGATTAGGCTCAGTGGACGGAACACCACATGAATGAATTCCAGGATCTCTGAAGCATTGGAGCAGGGAGCTGAAGATGCCGGGTGTTGGTTCAAGGATGATGGGGCCTGGCAGGGCGGTGCCTTGTGTTTGATGAAGGCATCTCTGCCATCAACCATCCACTTTAATTTCAGGGCAATGAATGTTTGCTCTCAATCTCATGGGGTAGTGAAGTGCAAAGGGGCCTGGAGATGGAGTCAGTGGCCCTGGGTTCAAATCCTGCCCCTGCCCCTTGTAATGCTGGTTCTAGAGCTAGAAAGAACCCTCAAGGGCATTAGATCCAACCCCCTCACTTGGCAGAAGAGGGCACACGGGCAGAAAGTGTCAGAGGCAGAATCTGAACCCCGGGCTCCTTCCTGGCTCCTTCTGGAAGACTGAGGAAATACCACTTCCCTCTGGTCCCAGCTTCCTCCTCTGTGACCTGTTTGGACCCAACATCTCCCAAGTTTTCTTCTCACTCTGGACTGATGAGGCCCCTGTCCTTAAGAATGAGCTCACTGTGATCTCTTGGTTCAATGGATGCTCAAATAAACAACAGAGGAGGCAGAGAAAAGCTGGGCTTCTGAGCACAGCCCGGACAGGCCAGTGCTCCAGGGGCCACTCATGGCCTTTGATGGCAGCACTGATGCCCCAGGAGCCGACCAATGACTTTCCCTTCTGGCTCCCATGAGCATGGGCAGCAGTGCGGTACAGTGGGTAGATAGCAGGCCTGGAAGCCAGGAAAACCTGGGTTTGTGTCCTGTCTCTGACACGTCCTGCTGTGTGACCCTGGGAGAGTCACTAGGCAATCTCTGAGACTTGCCGCCCTGCATCATGAGGGGAGCTCCCTTATGGAGGAGTCCCCCAGAGCCAGGAAGTCACAGGCCCAATCTTAGGCAGTCCCATCCATAGCATAAAATCAGAAACTGAGGCTGAAGTACCTCATTTCACACACGGGAGGAAACTGAGACTCAGAAAAGGATGGTGAGATAAGATCATGGCCATAGAATGGGAAGGGAGCCGCCCTTAGGCTGCTTAGCCCAGCTCTCACAAATGAGGAAGCTGAGGATTTGAACCCAGACCCTCTGCCATCAGAGTATTCTTTCCCCTGAGTTCAAATGGCCAAGTGGGAATGCATTTCCCTTTAGAGACAGATACTAAAGGAGAGCTATGGGGGACAGCTTGGAATCCCCATCGACTTTCCCAGTCCCTAACCCAGAGTGTGTGAATTTTTTTTTAAAGTATTTTGACAATTCATCTTCCATGTAATTGGTTTCTTTTGCAGTCTCATGTATTTCATTGTATATCTTTAAAAACATGATTTCTGAGAAGGAAGGCGTCTGTAGGAGTTTCCAGAGTGCCGGGGGAGGGGATGTCCAGACACAAACAAAGTTAGAAGCCCCTAGAGAAGGTCCCTGTAAGGCCGCCACCTCAGGTTCAAATGGCTGCCTTCCCCTTGAACTCCTTTGGAGACCCTCACAGGCTGCTGGACAGAGCTTCGTACAAGGGTGGATGGCTTCCTCGCCCTGCCCCCCTCTGTCTCCCAGCCTGGAGGCCTCATTCCCTTCACCTCCTCCAGCCTCAGTGACTGAGTTGACAACCACTGACCCAGTCTACACCTGTCCGTGGATGTCTGGCTTGGATGGAGCTCTACTCCAGGGGCTTTCCTGGGACTCTTCATCCAATTAGGGCAGAAGAAAGTCTACGATTTGATGGAACCTTGCTTCAAAATCCACATTTCCCTAAAGAATCATGCCTAGACGTGTCCTCACCAACTCGCAAACCCTGATTAAAGCCTGGAGACACTGCGGTCGAGGTGGGTCCCTGTTTTTCAGCAGCCAGTTGCTGGTCTCCACTGGCTATATGCGCAGTGGCTCTATAGGGGAAATGACTCCACCCACCTCCCCCTCTACCTCAGACCGATGGCCGCATGCTCCCCAGGCGCCTGCGACGCCTAATGCATTTTCTTGTGCCTTTGGGACAGCGTGTTCCCATTTATCACATAGAAAACGAGGAGGAGTCACAGGCGGCTGATTAAGTCTCCACAGCTGTGGCATCTAGAAAAGCGCTTTTCCGCAAATCTCCAGCTTCCTGGTAGTCCCAGCTCCGAGCCCCCCTGATCCCTGGCTGTCGCTGTCTACCCCAACATCTCTGCTCCTCGATGGTGTGGTAGACCATGAGCTCCCTGAGGACAGGGCCCGGTTAATTTTGGTCTTTTTGCCCCCAGCACCAAGCCCAGAGTCCGGCTCATAACCGGTGCCGGTGGATGGAAAGGCTGTACGAATCTCAACATTTCAAAGGGGCCTTGTCACAGCTGTGAGAACACAGGTGGAAGGACAAGCCGTGATGTTGACATCCATGCACACAAGGGTGATGGTCAGGGAGGGCCAGGGCTTGGGAACGGGGCTGGCTTATGCCTCCTGCATGGCCCTTCCTCTACGGCATAGAACTCTAAGAGGGAGATACCGGATGGGAGCCCAGGAGCTCGGATTTGACAATGCTTGGCTTGGTTAAGAGTTCTAGAAAGTTGGCGCTGGGAGGGACCTTCAAGGAGGCCTGGTCCGACCTCATCATTTTACAGATAAGGAGGCTCAGAGATGCCAGAAGCCCCACGGCCAGGGTTGACCTCAGGCCCTCTGACCCCCAATGCAGCGAAGAACAGGCAAGCATTCTGATTTTCTAAAGTCTGAGGGAGATTTTAATATTATTAGGTGACCCGACTAGGTTAGACACCCAGCTGTGTTAGAGCTGGGATGGACCTTAGACAGGGTCTAGCCCAATCCCTTCATTTTATTTATGAGGCAACTGAGGCCCAGAACGATTAAGCCTCTTGCTGGAGATCGGCCAGATTTTGTAGCAAAGCCAGACCTAGAGCCCGTCACTCCGGACTGCCAGGCTACTAGAGAGATGAGGAGGCTTGTCAGGGAATACTGTGGAAAAGGAAGCTTTCCAAATGAACCTGCCCAGGCCTCTCCCATTTTTCCTCTCCTGGGGCCAAGCATCAAGCCTGGCAGCCCAGAGTGCTGCTACCTGCCCCTTGGAATGGAAGGCTCTGCCCTGGGCAGTACTTGACCCTTCCTAACATTCCCCTGAATATAACTGGCGGGAAGGCTGGGCTGGACCTAGCAATGACTTCTGCTGAGCCTCCTGCTGTGAGCCCAGCTGTCCTAGAGTCCTGTATTTCCATGGGATTGGGGTGTTGGGGTTGGAGCCAGGTGATGAGGGGATGGGGGTCTGCACTAGGAGGTGGCACAGGCATCTTCACAGATATGACCTTTGGGGTCAAGGCTTCTCAGAAGAAAATTCAAGAGTTTTTCAATGAATGAGAACAGGTTTTTCCTGCTGAATCCTCCCAACTCTGCATCCTACAGGGCTACAGCTTTGCTCTAGAAGGGGACAAAATGGGTAGAATTGTATAAGACCCCCCCCACAATCATGTAAATTCTAAAGGAACATGTCACAGGAAAAACAGCCAGAGGGTGGTGTGCACCAGCTCTATAGAAATGAGCCTGGCAAGAAAATACCAGTCCCACCTAGGAAGTGCCCTTCAGCCCTCTCACAACAAAGTCTCCTTCTCCAGAGGTGGCCTTTTCCACTTCTGAGCAGTTGTGATGATTACACCTGGGTGAAATCGGTATTTCTACAACCTAGGAGCTGGAAGGGGCCCCAGAGGCATCTAGTTGCACCTCTTCCTTTCACAGGTAAAGACACTGAGACCTGGAGAAATAGTTTAGACCAAGGAAGGTCATACAGCGAGTCACTGCCGAAGGTAGGATTTTAACTCAGGTCCCCTACCTCCAGAGCTGGGGCTATTTCCCAACTTACTGGTCTCAGGGGGAGTCCTAGGTCCGGTCCATCCCCCACATGACTGCCACCCAATCCTTGGGCCCTGCTCTTTGCCCTACCCTCTGAAGCACCTCTTTTCTAGGCTGAACATGTCCCATTTTCGTAACAGATATTCCCACGGCCTGGTGTTGGGTCCCCTAAAATTCCTGGTCCCTCTCATCTGGACCCATGCCAGCTGGTCAATGTCCTCCCTCAGGTGTGGCCCTTGGGATTGGCTACAACATTCCAGATGTGGCCTGGGCAGGGCAGAGGACAGCAGGACCACCTACCTTTTCCTCCTGCCCCTCCTCCATTCTGATCATTCTACTTCTCCAGTACTAAAGTTTAAAATTTCACAAGCTTTTGTGGTTATCATGTCACTGATAACTGAAATGGAGCTTACAGTGCCCTGGGCTTCCTAGATTCCAACATGAACTGCTTTCTGGCCAGGTCTCATTCATTTTGCATTTGTGAGATTGATTGCTTGGACCCACATCCAAGGCTTTACATTTACTGATGTACCCTGATACTTCACCTTATTAGACTTGGACACGCTGAGTCTCTTTGGATCTCAAGTCTTCATTCCAAAATGTTGGCTCCCCTTCCTAGCTTCTGACATCTGTTAATTTGAGGAGGCCACAATCTATGCTTTCATCCACCAGCGGGCCCAGATCCTCAGGGCACTCTGCTAGAGACTGCCCTTACCCTGAGCATCCTTCCATTCATCATTATGCTCAGTCTGTCTTCCTGGTCACTCTGGGTCCACAGAATATGAAAGACCTTATTAAATACCTTGATGAAGCCCCGGAGCATCCACCCTCATCTCTGAGTCCACTGACCCTTCCCTAAGGTCTACGTGTAAGACCTTGCCTCCAGGCGCCCCCCAGTCCCAGAAGGAGCCCACTGGCCTGGCCTGTTCTCCATCATGACTGGTGTGCTATGGGAAGTGCATTTCTCTGGCGGTTTTTATTTAGAGTGTGGCCAGATACCTTGTCTCCGCCGGCTGTTTAGTTTCCTGAAGCAGGTGCCCTCCACGAGGCGATTCAGACGCTGTTGTTTGATCAGCTCTAAGATTTCAGGCTGGATCTTCTCCTTCAGTTCCCTGTTAAAAGCCAATAGAAAACACAGAACAAATGTAGGGGGTGATGGTCACTAAGGTCAGTGCTTTACTCCTCCCATTCCCTCCCCCCAAGTCAGCTGCCCCAGGCTCTAGGTATTTTATGGGTCAGAATCCTTTCCAAACCATAGTTCATGAGCCCCAACCAATGTATTTTACTTTTACCAGTCTGCCATAGGATCTATAGTATATTAAAACAAACAAACAAACAAACCAAACCAACCCATGACATTTTAATTAAACAGCAAAATAAATAAAGTGATAAAATATTCTTCCCTTATTCCAAGCCCCCAAATCCAAAGCACAGGTTGAGAAACAAAGTTTGGTTAGATGTGTAATCCTGGCAACTGATTCAGGGATGTCTCTTTTTTAAAAATTATTTTTCTCACTTAATAGTATTTTTTTCCAATTACATGTAAAGAGAGTTTTTAACATTCATTTTTATAAGATTTTGAGTTCCAAATTTTTTCTTCTTTCCTCTCCCCCCTCAAGACAGCAAGCAATCTGATCTAGACTATACATGTACAATCATATTAAATATATTTCCATATTAGTCACATTGTGAAAGAAGAATCAGAATAAAACGGGAAAACCACAAGAAAGAAAAAAAAAACAAAGCAAAAAAGGGAAAATAGTATGCTTCTATCTTCATTCAGACTCCATAGTTCTTTCTTTGGGTATAGATAACATTTTCCATCATGAGTCTTTGTCTTAGATGCTTGCATTGCTCAGAAGAGCTAAGTCTGTCTATCTGTCTAAAAACGATGAGAAAGAGAAAAAACAAACAAAAAAGAGCAAATAGTATGCTTCAATCTGCATTCAGACTCCATAGTTCTTTCGCTGATATAGATAACATTTTTCATCATGAGTCTTTTGGAATTATCTTAAATCATTGTATTACTGAGAAGAGCTAAGTATGTCTGTCTGTCTGTCTATCTATCTATCTATGTATCTATCTATCTATCTATCTATCTATCTATCTGTATCAAAGTTGATCATTGCACAATGTTGCTATTACTGTGTACAATGTTCTCCTGGTTCTGCTCACTTCACTCAGCATCAGTTCATAAAAGTCTTTCCAGGTTTTTCTGAAGTCTGCCTGCTCATCATTTCTTATGGAACAATAGTATTCTATTACATTCATATACCACAACTTGTTCAGCCATTCCCCAATTGATGGGCAAGGGATTAGCCTCTTAAGACAGACACCATGAACTTTGTCTCTCCCTGCACATCCCCAATGGGTCTGCAGGACCATGAGACTGAACCTGCCCAATTGCGGACCCCAATGAAGCCAGCTTGAATTTCTGAAACACCTATTAACTTCTGTTCTTTTTTTCCTTTTCCAAAATTCTTCAGGAAATAATCACTCTGCCTCCCAATAACATGTATACACACACATCCCAACACCCATCCCTCCCCTTGGCGTTCAAGCTTAAAACTGCACTAAGTCTTTTGGGACACCCCGGGTAAGTCTCTGTAAGAATATTTCTTCTTCTAAATGTGCCAACACATAAAAATAAATTCCATATTTTCAACATTGTGTTTTGCTCTAGAAGGCAAACTAGGAGATTGCATGTGTTAATCAGAACAAAAATGTATGGATAGCCCTTTACCACCACCATGAATTTCAATAGCACTTTAGGGTTGGCAAAGTACTTAATGATCTCATTGAAGCCTCACAAAAACTCTGACAGGCAGGTGCGTTTATTAATTTCCATTTTACAGATGAGGAAACTGAGGCAGATTAGGTTATTAAGTGACTGGTCCAGGGTGGGCAAGTCACATAGACTGAGGTCACATTTGAACTCGGGTCTTCCTGACTCCAGCGCTCTATGCACTGTGGTGCCACTTAGTTGTGCTTGTGAACACTGGTCCCATTCAGAAACAACGTTATTTTTTCTTTAGTAACAAAACCTTGTTCTATGCCTCAGTTTGATCATCTTTAAAATGGGACTATCGGTGCCTCTGGAGAGCCCAGACCATCGGACTTTGAAGGAATGAAGGAGTGAATTCAGCTTGCCAACACATTCTGAGTTAATAGAATGTAATGTCTCAGCACTTCAATGGTTCCATAATCTCATTGTGGTTTGGGTCCCCCCTCCACCAGTGCAGATAGCAGCCCATCTGTCTTTTCCTAAATCCTTCAGAAGCTCTAACCAACCAGACGCTCAGCTCTGGGCCTTGCAGGCACTCATGGCTCCAGGGCTGTCCAGCTGGTGGCCCCTAACTCCTGTTCATGACGGGACTCTCTGGTTTGTTACCAGAAAAAAATCGTTAAGGTGAAAAAATGCAACCCCTTTCCCTCAAATAGAAAGCAGACTTCACTTTTTTTTTTTGTTTTTTGTTTTTATTTTGTTGTTTTTTAGGCAATTGGGGTTAAGCGACTTGCCCAGGGTCACACAGCTAGTAAGTGTTGAGTGTTTGGTCAGAGACCAGATTTGAACTCAGGTCCTCCTGACTTCAGGGCCAGTGCTCTATCCACTGCACCACCTAGCTGCCCTCAGATTTCACTTTCACACATGAATGTGCTACAATCGTACTGCCTAAGACATTTAGAGTTCTAGGGTGTAGAGTCACCTGAATCAGAGCTTTAGAAATAGTGAGTCATTCACACAGAGCCATTCAACAGGGCCACACTTTGGGTGTGAGGTGGCCTTTAGCTGCTTGAGAGTAGGAATCATTTCCTTTTTTGCATTTGCCTCCCTAAAGCCTGGCATATAGGAGGTGCTCATGAATGCTTGTCAATTGATTTAAATTCAGACTTGAAGAGTTTCTTTGAACAGTGAAAAAATTAAAATGAAAAATAAAAGCTCCTGTCCCCTCCTTCTCTGAGCCTATGTGTCCCTGAGGACCTCTAATGAAGGCACACTATTTTCATTCTGCTGCAGAACATGCTGTTTGTACAGCTTGATCCCCTACTCAGGTCTGAACATGACCCTTCACTTGGCTAAGCTCTTGATGGCCCCGGCAGGTCCTGTGAGGCTGAGGGACTGGCAGGTTCCACTGGGCCTGGCCGTCGGTGGGGTGCTTGTCCCTGGAGGTCAACCTCCCCAAACATGGATAGGCTTGGCCCTAGACTGGCTGCAGCCACAGCAACTCCTGAGGACCCCCAGAGGTGAAGTCACTCTCAGACCAACTCCAACGCCATAAATACCAGGGCCCCCAGGAACCCAGGCTGACTCTGCATGCCTCCCTGCAGTGTAGATGGTGTCTGGAAACCATTTCCTCATAATCAAAGGTGACCCATTGGCAGGGCCAACCTTGGATTAGATCTTCCATGTGCCTGATTGTTGGCAAGTTATCTCCTCTATTGGAACGTGAGCTGCTCAAGGCTAGGGGATGTGTTAGCTTTTTTCCATCACCAACACTTGGCATAGTGCCTAGAACATTTTTGTTGTTGTTAAGTCATCTTTCAGTCATATCTGACTCTTTGTGGCCCCATTTGGGGTTTTCTTGGCAAGATGCTGGAGTGGTTTGCCATTTCCTTCTGCAGCTCTTTTTACAGATAAAGAAACTGAGACAAACATGATAAAGTGACTTGCCCAGGGTCACACAGCTAGGAAGTGTCTGAGGCGGGATTTGAACTCACAAAGATGAATCTTCCTGACTCCAGGCCATGCACACTATCCACTGTGCTACCTGGCTGCCCCTGGAACACAGTAAGTACTCAATAAATCCTTGTTGACTGACAGCAGTTGACAGAGCTAACCTGGTGCTACTCAACTGTGATGAGTAAACTTCCTAGGGCACATTCGACCCTGGGCTGACATTTATGTACAGGAACACCGCACTCATTGGAGAATGTGTTCTGGGAGTCCCTGGCCACTATCTCCTGTTATCTGATATGCTGATGCCTCTCTGTCTTTGGAGAGGAATATGGAAATGCAGCTGTCATCCTTGGCTTGCTCCCTTGATGATGCGAAGGCCCCTTAGGGCTCCATCTCAGGCTCCCCGATCACAATCATGGAAGTGATTTATTATCAGCTCTCCTGATGGGGAAAATGGACTCAGCAAACTGGCTACTTCCACTAGCCTTGGCTCTGGTTGAGGAGGGGTTAGGGAGTGGCGCACACCCTCACACCCAGCAGTTAAGTCACTGCAATAGCGAAGAGAGGAGGACTTAGTGTGGGAGAAAAATCATCATTCCAAGAGTTGGGGAATTTCCCATCTTCATCGACAATGCAGAACTCTAGCTTTTACTGATGATCTTCTCTATTTCAAAACTTATCAGTATTTAGGACAATGTCTGGCACACAGTAAGTGCTTAATAGATGCTCTCCTCCCTCTCTTTCTGTCTATCTCACCATCTATCTATTGGTCTATTTATCTTGGATGAAATAGATTAATTTAGGGGCAGAAGCTAAAGAGATACCATAAGCCAGGAAACCCACTTCCTAGGAGACACAGTTTTTAATTAATTTTTTTGATGTTAGCACTTGACAGAGGTAATCATGGCAGGATGGGCTAGCCATGTTGTTTGAATGCCAAATGCATGTTTCCCTAAAAGACTATCTTGTGGAGAATTCACATAAGGCAGGCACTCACATGGAAGTTAGAAGTGATACAAAGACTCTCTCAAGGTCTCTCTGAAGAACTTTGAATCGATTGTGAGACCTGGGAGACACTGGCATAGGACAGCCCAGCATAGTGTGTTCACACTAAAGAAGGCACAGTGCTCCATGAGCAAAGCAGAATTGGAGTAGCTCAAAAGAAACATGAGATGCATAAACTTAGAGACATCTCTACTCCAAATGTTTATATGGAGTATTTGTGCCCAAGCTGTGGTAGAGCCTTCTGAACTTGTACTAGTCTAATCAGCCACAGTCGGACACAATGTACCTTGATATCAACACAGTGATGTCATTTTGGCCCTGAGCCTGACAGTGATGTTATTTTGGTCCTGATTCCAACACAGTGATGTCATTTCAGCCCTGACCCTGACACAGTGATGTCATTTTGGTCCTCTTCGAGAACAAAGGACAGCAAGCATATCATGCCGGACCATCTGGCATTAACTTCCAGGTCTTCAGACTTCACACACTCCCTCTTTTCTCTTCCACTAGATGCCATCACTAAGTTCTCTTTTATATTCAGGTTGCCCACTAGGATTTGTCTACTTGGAAGGAAGACGGTCCATTGAAGGGTCTGCTCCAAGGACTGCCACCTTTAAATTCCTATAACTCAAAAGGACTCCAGAAGGCAATCTGGCAGAAATGGATATGGAAGAGATGTCCATTCTAAAATAAAAAGGCACTAAGCTCAAAAGTGTATGGACCACAGGACCAGATCAGGCACAAGTTTTGGGCTGGGCTATACCTAAGTCACGTTCTAAGAAAAACCCTACTGGGGTCTAGATGAAGCCAAAGTCATGGGTTTGGAATGACCATGTGGGTGACTTGGCTTTGCTCTGTTCCCTAGCTGTAGACTGTACCCTTCACTGCAGCATGGTAAACAAAGGCCGCTGCCCATGTGGAAGCCTGGGCCAAAGGAAGCTACAGTAAGAAAGGCAATCCTATCCTCCCCCATGGAGTAACAACCCTATGCCTATACCCTGCTGGCACTGGGTCACCAAAGGATGTCATTGTCAGGCTCTGGATATTAGGGGGAGCTAGGGTCTGTCCAGAAGGCAGAACTGGCCTGGTCTGAGGTTTCTTCCATTCACTTGTTAAGCTGACCACTAAAGATCCACACCACCGCCCACTTGGCCTCCCCACTGGGGCTTGTCTGTGTTTGCCATCAAGACAAGACAGTAATGGTTTCCAAATGCTGTTTTCATTAGCCCAGCTTCTTCTGCCCATTAACATTGCAACTGAGTGTTGGATGTCCTTCCCTTACTCATTGAAACTCCCGAAGTGGAAAGTAATTAATGGTACTATTCTGAGGGAAATAATCAAAGACCAAGAAACAGAGCAAAAGCTCAATCTGTCCAGACCTATTGGAAACTTCCTCCTAAACAGTATCTGCTCATTCTTTGATCATTCGACCAATAGGGCCAATTTCTCTACAACGGACAGCTCCCAGTACTCAGCACAGTGCTGAGCAGATAGTAGGTGCTTAAAGAATGTTTATTAACTGAATGCCTGACTTTGAGGAGAAGGAACTGTTGGTCAGAGGTTTTGCAGGACAGGACAGCACCCATTCTGAGTGCAGCACCTGGGTGGTCCCTGCCACTTTATTAACAACAAGGGGATTTTGTCCTCTGCATATTCTAAAACTCAAATACATCTCTGCCCGTTTTTTCTTTCATTCTTTTTTTGGGGGGGAGGGAGAGTGTGTGTGGTATTCAGCTCCATCACAGAGATGGCCTGGGGTAATGGAGGGAGTGCTGGGCTGGGAGTCAGGAAGATGTGGGCTCAGGTGCCCCTCAGACGTTTGCCAGCCAGGCTTCCTTGGGGGTCCTTTAGCCTCTAATGCCTCAGGCACCTGCCCAGCATTCAGTGAGTAAACCACATGAGTCATCATGTGCCCTTGGGGAGGGCACTCTCCCACCATAAGAAATTTCCCATGATGGGAGTTCTTCACTGACAAAAATCATAGGCTGTTCACACGAGCATCTTCATCACGCTGTGAGGTGGTTTCTGTGAGTAGGAGGACAGTGCTCAGCCCCCAGTAGGTCCTGGATAAATGCTTATTGAGTGAGTGAATGAATGAACTAATGAGGCACACTTTTAACTGTAAAAGGTGAAGTCACATTTTCTCTTGTCCTGTGTTTTTCTTGTTTTTCCTTTGTAATAAACCTGCACTTTGAGGCTTCTCTGCTTCATGGATTGTCACCAAAGCCACAGAGGAACCAGCCAGTGTCTGAACTGGAAGGAGGGATGGGAAACCAGGAGGGTGAGACCATTGTCCTGACACTAGGTGTTGCTGAGTGAGAGGAGCAGTGCAGACACGTGGGTCGCTGCATGGCCTGGAACAAAGTCCTGGCTGCAGAGTCACTGAAAATCACTTGAGTCAGACTCAAACATGATCCTTTAATCTTGCCTTCTGGTTTTAAGCACTAGCTAAAGAATCATGATCACCACCACCACCACAACAGTATTTAAATAGTACCTGCTATGTGCTAGTCACTGTGTTAAGTGCTTTACACATATTATCTCCAGTGATCCTTACAACAACCTTGTGAGGCAGATGCTACGATCACCTCCATTTTACAGTTGAGGAAACTGAGGTAGAACAAGGTAAAGTGACTTATCCAGGGTCACCCATCTGAAGTGGGATTGGAACGTGAGTCTTCCTGACTCTGGGCCCAGCCCTCCAGCTACTGTATTAGGGAGGACGATAAAAGCACCTTGAATGTATACAGCAGCTCACACACAGCCTCTCAAGAAGGTCACTGACTTGGGTTCAAATACCGGCTTGGCCACTTACTTCCTGTGGGACTCTTGGCAAGTTGCCTCATGGCTCTGGGTCTCAGTGTCCTCATCTGTGAAGGGGTTGGTCAGGATGATTCCCTAGGGCCCTAGGAGCTCTAAATCATCACTCTTGATTATCCCATGCAAGGATACGGGATGTCGTTCCTCTTACGTCTCAGGCACCCAGGCACCAGCCAGTACACTACGCTCTTGGATCTAATGCTGTCTGCATCATTCCCTCTCTGGTAAGTCACTTAACCTTGGGGCCCCCAGGCCTGGCCTCCTGCTGAGGCCCCTGCCAGTCCAGCTCTGGGTTCCTGGGCTCCACCCTTCGGGATCTTCTGTCTGATCTTGGAAAAGGTTTCCTGAAGAAACCCAGGGAGAACTTTGTGCCCCCATCTGGGAGGTTTCCTGGTGTGTGTGCCAAACACAGGAGGGAGGCAGCCCCTTCCCTTGCCCTCAGTCCTGCCCTGCCCTGCCCCAGTCCTGTGCAGAGCTGGGCCTTATGGGATTCATAATACTATGTCCTAGAAGGCTTGTGGTCCTGGAGCTGCACATAGAGGAGAGGAGATGCCCAGAATGGCACAAACACAGGGCCAGTGAGGCCTGGAGGCTGCCTCCAGAGAGTGAGTAAGTGCGGGGGTCTCTGAGTGCTCGGCCTCTCCAGGGTTAGGGATAAGGCTCCCAGCCACATCAGACAGGCCTCCTGGGATCTTGAGGGAATCACTCAATCCAAATTCTTCCCATTCTTTTACATGCAAACTGAGGCCTCATAAAATAAACTGAGCCCCTGAGGAAGCCACCAGGCAGGTGGGTTTGAAGCCCACCAGGACCCCGCTCACTATGGGTGTTCAGGGCTTCTGGGCCTAGGGACCAAGGCAACAGTGCAGCTGTTCCAATGGTGCCCAGAAGGCAGCCATCTGGAAAGGACTGGGCTGTCACTGGATGTGGGAACATCTGCCTGGTGGCTGAGTGTCCCTCAGAGAAGAGGCTTCACCACCAGCCGGCGAGGAGCAGGTGTCAGTGGGGGTGGGGTGGGGGCTGGTGCAGAGAAGGTGGAGCCCCCTGCCTCTGCCCCTGCTCCTCCTGGACAGAGCCACCCAACATGACTCGCGCTCTCAGGGGCTTCTCTGAGCCCATCTGCGAGGGGGCATCTTAGGCTGCAAAGGGCACCAAACAGAACAAAATTTCACAGAGAAAAAACAAGACGTGGAAAGAAGCTGGGAAAGGTCAAGCCATTTTTTTTCAAAACCAAACACTCTGGAGAGGGATTGGCAAAAGGCATGAGAACACTAAATACTGGGTGACCACAGGGGCGGGTGTGCCCTCCTGGGGGAGATGCGCCCTCCCAGCTGCGGGGCCCTGGGCTGGGAGGTGGAGATGCTCAGGCAGCAGAGAGGGTGAGGTCCCGAGTCAATCAACAAGCATTCCCGAGGGGTCTAGAGACTCTGCCCGGCCCGGGACACCAAGTGCAAAGGGAGGCTTCCCTGGCCTCAGTGAGCTTCCATTCTACAGGGTGTGTGTGTGTGGGGGTGCGGAGCACAAGTTGTCCAGGGATCCCAAAGCTTACAAAACACTCTGTCCACAACAAACCTGGGAGGGAGTGGAAGGATCCTCGCTTCTATGTTAGTTACTGATGGGGAAACTGAGGCATAAGCAAGTGAAGGGGCCGGCCCAGGGTAAACCAGCCAGGATTCAGGCCCAGGCCTGCTGACTTCAAGTCCATGCCCTCATCCAGATCAGGCTGGCCCCTGCAGAGTCATACATACATACCACACACATACACACACACACACACACACACACACGTACACTCAGAGTCATACAGAGATGCACACGCACATACACAGTCACACACATACATGTATACATGTACACACAGAGTAATATATAGGTACACACATGAACATGCAGAGTCATACACAGAGGCACACACATACACACAGTCACACACACATACAGGTACACAGAGTCAAACACAGATGCACACACATGTACACACAGAGCCATATACAGATGCACACGTGTACACACAGTCATATAATACACACATGTATGTACACACAGTCACACACAGATGCACACACGTACATGCAGAGTCACACACAGACACACACACCCCCCGTGCAACTCTTGGATGCTGGCCCTTGGGGAGCCCGTTGGCCGCTGTGCTCGGCTCACTGGCAGAGGTGAGGGTGCCAGCCTTGGGGGAGGGGAGCAGGAACAACTCACAAGATCGGCCGAGACTGGAAATCCTCCTGGTTCATCCTCTCCGATTGGCGGATCTTCAGGATTTCCGTGTAGCTCAGGTTCTGCAGTTTGCTCTTGAACTGGTCTAGGGAGCTAGGCTTGGTAGTGAGAGCCCTCATGATCTGCTCCTTTACGACTTGCATTACCTGCGGGTCAGAGGATGACAGTTATTTGTGGGCCAATTGGCAGGCGCGTCCGGTTCGGGGCAAGGGCCTTCTAGAGGCCAGGGCAGCGCAGCCTCCCCAGAGACTCTGGCTTCCAGCATTGCCTCCGCTGTGCTGTGCTCCGGGAGGGGGGAGTCTCCCCTCAGGCCCCTCCAGGCCTCTCCCTCCTAGAACACGGCACACAAAAGAAGCCAGGACAGCCGGGAAGCTGAGGATCATTCTTTCACAATCAACTGGACGTCTGTGGGGTCCTGACTGGGGAAAAAGCCCTAAAATACAGCAATAAGGGAAAAGGTTTAAAACTTAAACTCTGTGAAAGGTGGAAGCCCGGACATGGTGACCTGTTAGCAATCATAACTTAGACACTAGATCATAACTCAGTTACTGAGTCCTACTTAAGGCACTATGACCTATGAAAGCCATGGCAAGAATATCATGACCCACATGTGGCCAGGACGTAATCGATACACAAACTGATGTTTGGGCATGACGTTGGCTTCACGCCCAAGCTCATTACTAAGCAGAAAACCAGAAGTATCCACCGGTCATGGGGATACACTCCTTAGCTCCTCCTGCCTTTGTCTGTTTTCTATAATCGCCCCAGGGATTTCGGGGGTTCTTTGCGGGCATCCACTGAACTGTCTGACTGCCACCCCAGATGGCCCTGTTCTGTAGGTATTTATAATGACTGATTAAACTACTACCTATCATCGGTCTGGAGTTCCTTGGAGTCTTCCTTTGGCATCAAAAGCACACCCCGTGGTTATAGGGGAGGTGCAGGACTCCCCAGCCAGGGGAATTCCAGACCTCACAGCATCTCTGGGCACGGGACTCAGCCGCTTATGGAGGTTTGCCCACAGATACGTATGCTTTTCTGCACACATGTGCCCATATGTATACACACATGTCCATGGATAATGTACACACATGTACATATACATCCAAGATGGCTGATGGGCACAGAACCTCATCATTTCAGAGAGGGATGGGGTCTTCCCGGACATGGCCTCCAACCCCGACAAGAACGAGGATCTAGGCTACATTAGTCAAAGGGGCTGGATTTGGAGACAGAGGACCCGAGTTCAAATCTGGATACCACCTCCACGAGTCACTTCATCTTGTGGGCCTCAGTTTCTCCAACTGTGAAATTGGGAAGTAGGATTAGATCTTTCTTTACTTGAAGGAATTGCTTAATCCAAATCCTTCCCATTCTTTTGCTTGCAAACTAAGGCCTCAGAAAATGAATCAAGCCCCTGAGGAAGCCACCAGGAAGGTGAGTTTGAAGCCCACTCAAGGACCCCGCTCATTATTGGGTGTTCAGGGCGTTTGGACCTAGAGACCAAAGCAATGGTGCAGCTGTTCTAGTTGGCGCCCAGAAGGCAGCCGTCTGGAAAGGACTGGGCTGTCCCTGAATGTGGGAACATCTGCCTGGTGGCTGAGCATCCCTTCCATGTGGTGCTTGTCTCCCATCTCCTATCTCCCATCTCCACGCTTTTGCACCTACTGTGCCCCATGCCTGGGGCTGAATTCCCCCAACCTTTATTGAATATTCTATATGTGGACAGTCAAAGTTCAACTGGGAGAAAATGGGGGGAAGGCAGAGAAAGGAGCCCTGCTTCTGTGCCGTTGGGGTGCTGTTGGTCGGTTGGTCTGGGGCTGCCACTTTCCTTGACCAGCCTGGGGAGAAAAGGGGCCGCCTTCACCTCTCCAATGACATCAGTGCTCTGTGGAAGCCAATGGGGAAGGCTCTGCTCATCACAGCTGACCTTCACCCGGCACTTCTGCTCATTGTCTTCACTGAGCCTCACAACAGCCTTTGAGAGAGGCTCAACCAACCAATCCACAAACATTTATTAAGCACCTACTATGTGCCAGGCACCAGGACTACAAAGAAGGAAGCCATCCCTGCTTCCAAAAGGCTCATACCCAGTTCAAACTCCTTGGGCCTCAGTTTCCCTACCCATAAAACGCTTATATGATCTCTAAGAACCCACTCTTCTTGCTGACGCACTATGACTACTAAGGTTCTATCTTAACTCAAAAGCTCCTTATCTTATTCTCACCCCCAGGGTCCCGAGCACATTGCCTTGATTATGGAAGCTGCTAATAGAGGTTAGCTGGTGCGAAGTTCTGACGATGAGGAAACTGAGGCCAGGCAGCTAAGGGACTTGCCCAAGGTGGGAGCAGCTAGTAAAAGGGGGAGCAGAGTTCAGCTGAGCTCCCCTGACTCCAAAGCCGGTGTTTTCTCTATGATCTGGGGCACCCTGGCCAGACCAGCCTGACCTGGGTGTGAGTCACAGGCCAGAACAGCTGGCCAGCAGGTGAGAAGCCAGTGGACGGCACTGACCCACTGCTTCCCTGGTCCCATCTTCCCTGGCGGTAGTGGGGTGTGGCCCCAACCCCATGCCTCTGTGGACGGCTGCTAGAATATGTTTGTATTTCTCTGGAAACTTAGGGGGCTCAGGCTCAGGAGACGGACCAAATGTCAAATGGGGCAGAGCATCCTGGCATCCTCCTCACCCTCAGGCAGGTCACAACTGAGCCACGTCTGATGGGGCACCTGTCTCTGGCCTCCTCTAAGTCACTATTGCACAGTGAGTGCTGCTGTTAGTAGTAGCAGTCCCAAAGGGGAGGGGCACTCAGTCCGGGTTCCCAGGGGTGGGCTCACAGCCACATCTTGGACCTATCAGGGACCTTGGGGAGGGTCTTTCATGGGGGAGAGAACACACTGGCCGTACGAGGTTCCCTGCACCTTTGTGCGCATCCACCGTCTTTTCAACAAGTGTTCTAACTAAGGGCAGGAAAGCTCTGTGGATGCAATTAAAATCACGAAGCTCACAGACTCCAGTCTTAATTCTGACCTTTCGGTGCAACATTTAGAGACATTTCACCGACTGTTTGCAAAACAGCCAGGGCTGCTGCTCCAAGGCAGCGTGCTCTAAGTGGGTCTCAGTTGGCATTAAGAGGTAGGGAAGGAAAGGAAACCCTCCATGCGGACACGCCCTCTGCCCCACCCTGCCCCAAACCTGCACACAAAAGCACACTCTCAGAATTCATCTGGTGTGTGGAGGTCTTGGATGCCTTCTTTCAATAACGCTTTGTAATGCAGAGGATCACAGATGGAATCACAGCTAACGCAATATTAATAAAAACCCCCAGAGCCGGCTGAAGAGCTCCTGATGTAGGATCAGTGAATCCAGACCCAACACCCAGCACTGGGCTGGGCTGGACAGGTGGCGTGGTCCCTGCCCATGAGATGCTCACAGTCGCTTGGCACTTTACTTCTGATTTCTTGGAAGAATGACTTAAAGTTGCCAAGGGGGCAGGGTGGAGATCCCAGGACAAAAGACGCCATCTTGGCACCAAGTCTTGGTGTCGATGCTTACTCCTAGCTCCATTACTAGCAGCTGACATTCATCTAGTGCCTGGGGCTCATCTGACCCCCACCACAGGGCTGAGAGAGGTGTTACTATCCCCATCTTATAGATGAGGAAACTGAGTGACAGGGAGGAAAGGTGATTTGCTGACAGCCAGACAGCTGGTGAGTGCCAGAAGGAATTTTTGAGCCACTCCAAGGTCAGTGGACTTTCCTCTATGCCCCAAGTTTGACCACTGGCCAGTCGTGGGATTTCTATTCAACTCACCTCTCTGTCCTTCATTTTGTTTTGTTTTTCCCAACAAAGCACACCTCCAGGGATGCTGCTAGCTCTCAAGCCTTCATCCTCTGAGTAGCTCTAAATTAATGGTACCAAGAAACTTTGGAATTTTCATATGGAGATGCTACGTGGGTAATGCCTCATTTATTGGATGTTGTAGAGGAAAGGTTTTCCATATGATTGAAGTTAACCCCTTTAAGCAACAAAATACTTTAAAGCAAGTCTTCTCCAGTGTCTCACTTTAATGTGAAGGTGGTCCTTCAAAGGAGTAGAAAGAGAGAGAGGGATGGGGGAGAGAGAGGGGACAGAGGGAGAGTGGGGGGAGAGATAGAGAAGAAGAGAAAAAAAGGAAGAGAGAGAGGGAAAGGGGGAGAGAGAATTGGGGGGGAGGGAGGAGAGGGAAAAGGAGAGAGAGAAAAAGAGAGAAGAGACAGGGGGGGGGGGGGGGGGGGGGAGAGAGAGAGAAAAGAAAGAGAGGGGAGACAGAGAGAGAAGAGAGACAGAGACACACAGAAAGACAGAGATAGAAAAGAGAGAGATGGAGAGAGACAGAAGATAAAGAGAGAGGAAAGAGAGACAGAGAGAGAAGAGAGACAGAGAAGACAGAGAGAGAAGAGAAATACAGAGATAGATAGATAGATAGATAGATAGATAGAGAGAGAGAGAGAGAGAGAGAGAGAGAGAGAGAGAGAGAGAGAGAGCACATTCCTGTCTTGTGGGCTCAGCCTGTACAAAGCATGGAGGTAGGTGGGAGAGGGTCATGGAGGGGAGCAGTAAGTAGACCAGTCTGGCTGGAATGGGAAGTGTAATGACCCCATCTCTGACCTTGTGGGTCCAGACCTCTCTGAGGCAGAATATGACACAGCAGAGACACCCTGAGAAGAGAAAGCATCCAGGGTGGGGGTAGGGGTGGGGTGTGTGTCTCAGTAGGCTCCAGCACTGCAGGGGGGTCAAGAATGATGATGGTTGGGAAAAGCCACAAAGTTTCACAAGAGATTATTGATTGGAAATATTGATTGACTGGAGAGTGCAGTTGAGTGATAAGGCTGGAAGCCAGACCACATGGGGTTGAGAAAGGAAAGGGAGGTGAGAAAGAGGAAGCAATGAGCATAGACAGCTTTTCCTAGGAGTCTGGCCAAGAAAAGGAGGGGAGATACAGGTCCATCATTTAAGCCTCTAGCAGGCTAGCCAAATGAAGTTATTCCATGCTTTGGGAGACCTCAGCATAGCAACAGGGAAGGATCCAGTGGACAGAGAGTTGGTGGGCGTTACAGAGAAGGAATGACGTGGACGTGGACACAGGCTCCCACCAGAGAGGAGGGCATG